TAGTTTTGGTGACAACCAGGGATTATCTAACTTTGGAGGGATTTCCTCTCACTTCCTGTTTTGGTTGACATAACTGATCACGTATGTAGCGCCATGGCAGTTACAAATCGGCTATGATGACAGCTTCTTTGAGGTATAGGACGGTTAACCAGTTCCATGCTGTCCTATAGCAGAAATACTGCTACAGGGCGGCATGAGTGTGCAAAATCACATATATACCAGACCCATTCGTGGCCACGGCTGTCGATCACAGGGTCCCGGCCGGTGATTACTCGCCGGCACCTGGTGGTTGCCGAGCATCTCCGAAAGGAGAGAGAGCTGTACATAAACACAGATCTCACCCCTGTCAGCTCCTGCACACTGCTTTGTATGGCTCTGCATAGCAGAACCACACAAAGCAGTGTGCTTACAGTGAAGCACACACACAGCACCCATAGTGAAGCAGCACACAGTTAACCCTTTGATCGCCCCAGATGTTAACCCCTTCCTGCCCAGTACCATTACTACAGTGTCAGTGCTTTTTATTAGCACTGATCACTGTATTGGTGTCACTGGAGATGTCAGGGACACCAAGTCAGTTCCCCCAGTGTCAGAATGCCAAAAAACCCAAAACAATTCCAGTATATATACCGCCATTTGTAAACGCTATAGTTTTCACGTAAACCAATTAATTTACATGTATTGAGATTTTTTTGTAGCAAAGACATGTAGCAGAATTTTGGCCTTAGTTTATAACAATTTGATTTTTAAAAAATTTTTTACCAGACATGTTTAATAGCAAAAAGTCAAAAATATAGTTTTTCTAAAAATTTCAGTTTTTTTTTTTATTTTTAGCGCAAAAAATAAAAAACCGCACAGGCAATCAAATACCACCAAAAGAAAGCTCTATTTGTGGGAAACAAAGGACATAAATTTCATTTGGGTGTAGCGTTTCATGACTGCACAAATGTCAGTTAACGCAACACCGTATCGCAAAAAATGGCCTGGTCAGGAAGGGGGGTAAATCCTTTGGAGGCCAAGTGGTTAAATTCCTTTATCCAAAAAGAAAAACAAACTGTTGCTGTAATGACTTAAAAAGTGTTAGCTGGAGTTTGGTTTTAATCTGTTAGTCAAGTCCATTTAGATCTGCTAGTGCAACTATCACTACCCTCTACCCAGATTGACAATGCTGTTCTTAAAAGGTGGCATTGTTGCTCCTCCATCCTGCGTAGCGGTCCATTTATACAGGAAGAAGTCCATTAGATGAAACGCGTCGGTATGATGTCAGATGCCAGAAGTGATGTCATCACATTCACCGGAAGTGCGGTGGCGGCCATGTTAAGTTAGGTTTACAGGCTTTTCTATCACTTGTGTTTGTAAATAAAATTGCATGTGAATAAATATGTTTTTACATTGAAAATGGTTGCACTATGGACCTTGTTTGATGCACCTCATTTTCTGATCTATTGGTTACGGTGCATAAAGTGACTGGTTGGTGGATGTTGGTGCAAAGCACTGGGTGTTTTGCACGGTGTTTACAAGAAGGCATTGGCTCTGCATGCTTATGTGAGTGGTCTGGACACCTACACAAACCATTTCTAAAAATGGTATCACACAATATTTATATTTTATTTTCTGAGGGTTTATGAACACATATTTTGGAAGTAAGAAGGAAATTGGATGCTGAAAGGATTCATTGGATATGTTTACATGATTAGGGTATTCAGTAAGGTGAATGTAGTGAACAATTCAGCACATTTCACGTGGTGGAACACTGTAAGGGTATTAAAGGGACAGAAACATTTGAAGCTCACTTGATTAGTACTTGATTACTAGAAATGATCATACATTTATTCTGTGTGCCTTACGGGGTTGCACTATTGCTTGTGATTTATTTTTCGGGTTCTGGACACCCACCTGGAAGTAAGGGGTGAAGAAAAGACATCACACACATGAGGATTGGAGAGGAAGAGTTCGTTGTGGTATGTGAAAAGCTTGCACATACTTTAATGTGAGCAGATTATATGAACATTTCATGACACATATGAAGTGGAAGCATACTACACTATATAGTTTTTCTTTTCTTTTTGAGATTGGATATGCAGGAGAGTGATTTCCATCGTGAATTCAAGAGAGACGGTGATTTAACGAATGCACTTTATTTGAACACAAAGAATACAGACTTTCTTGAGAGAACACTTTTTGATTTTACTTTGGAGGACATTTGAATTGTTTAAGCGCTGGTTTTAACACATAGCATTTATATAGGGGGTGTGTTACTGTGTTACTATCACCAGGTGAAAATAAAGGGGAAAAAAGTCTAAAAAAAGAAAACCAATGCAGCCACTGAATTAAAGGATGGGTAAGCTGCAACATATGAAATTTTTGTTTTGGAGTTTAAGGTTTTAGAAGAAATGGTACCCACCACAGAGCATGCTTCCCTGGCTTCTAAGCCGCTTGTTTATGTACTTAAACTTTCCAGCATACTTGAATAGATGACAGAAGCTTGATCATATGTGAGGCAGCAGCTTAGTTGTAGCAAAAAAGAATCACATTCATTCTACTCGTTCTGTACGGTCTTCAAGCAATACTGACAAGGCTGGTGATGGATACAGCAACCAAAAATGCCTCCTTATACCTGTATTCTGATAGCATGCCATGCTGGAAAACAATAAATGTTCATAAGTCAATACACTCAGCTGGCAGTTCACAGTGCCCTTAAGAAATGGCAGTCATCATCAAACCAAATTCAAATGTCCACAACTTATCTCCTGATAAGACAGACTGAACCTGTAGCCATTCTACACATGCTCAGTTTAGTATGTCTTGCTAGAGAGGTTTATATTTTCTTGGGAGAGTGCATGTGATCAGCACAGGGCCAATCAGCACTGTCCAGACAGAGGTCAGGGATTTTTCATCCTCTTAGAGCAGAAAGAAAATTACTCCTACAAGCTTTAACCAGTGCTCTGCTGAACACTGATAAAAGTCACAAGACTGCTCTAACTGCTGATGAGAAAAAGTATTTAGCAATTTATATTTACTAAAATAGTTGCACTTCCATGTTCTGTGTACTGTGGGAAACCAGATATAGTTAATGCAGGGTTCTGGGTTTAGTAACACTTTAAATCAGCTTTTGTAATAGGCGCTCCTCAATTAATTACCCATTCCAGAGTCCAAGTCCCCTTTCACATGAACATTCCAATTGGAGCCACCTGTCCATTTTTCAGGTGAACCCCATCAGACCCCCCATTCGGCTCTACAAAGCACAAGTCCTTTTATACCCGCCTAAATCCAATCCGATGCGGCAAAAAACAAATGGAAGGGGTATTTGTTCCCCTCGGTCTGAATAGATCGGCTCAGAGGGCAGGCTGTGCCTATAGAAGGAGAATGGGCAGTGTCCAAGTCCTCTCTGCATAAGCAGAGTGGACACAGACCTGTCATCCGCCTGCTCAACTGGAGACCAGAGGAGGTCAACCACTGAGCAAGCAAACCTCAAGCCGAGTCCGCCCCGTGTGAAAGGAGCCTTAGTAAATATAGACTTTTCCAGTGGTTGTTATTTCCAAAGTCACAGTCAGCAAACCGTATTCCCCGTTCCACCCCTGCTGCCATATGGCAATACTCAGATACAGATAGTTCACATCTATGCAACGCCATTTTAAAAATATACGGGAAGCTGCACTTCTGTACACTTATTCACTTTAAGCAGGCCCATTAAAATTATTGGTAAATGCCTAAAAACAGCCTGTATCATGCAACTTTGTATAGTTTTTGAAGCCCAGCTGGAGATTTAAAAGGCAAAAAAATGAGCTCTGGAGCTGTCCTATCCAGGGTCTCATGACCCTGCCCCTCGAGTACAGTACCCTAAATGCAAAGATACACAGAGTGGCACTAATGTCAAGTCAGCACTGCTTTCTGTATCATTCAGGGCTGCCCATCACCAGGTGAAGACCAAGTAAGACGTAGACCCAGCTGCCCATCACATGATGAGCCAGAAAAATTCAGAAAATGTAAGTAAAGAAAAAACAAAATGTTGTCCAGTGGGGCGTCAAGATGGAGAATAAGTCCTGGGGGAGGAAAGGGAGGACTGCATTTTACAGAGCCTGGATCTGAACTTTAAGGCATCTGTAGCATGTGAAATACCAACTGTGGACATAGGATTGGGTATATGGAGGTTTTCTATTTGTGTGTGCATGTGTGTCTTATTCTATTGATTGAACTAGATGGCCTCGTATCTTTTTTTCAACCAGACTAACTATGTAACCACATATATGCAATAACCTGGAAGCTTCTCCCTCACTTTGCATATTGAATTAACAAAAAAAAGTGTACATAAAAACGCATACAAAGGCATATAAACTCAATCATCAAAATGTGTTAGAATATCCCTTATGGTGCCAGGTATACAAGGGCAGCCTTAGTTCAATCTGCTTGAGGACAAAACAAGCTAACTTTAGCATCTTAGTTAATAAAGTGGTGCAAAGTACAAGGAGATGGTCCAACAGTCTAGAAATCCACAGCAACAAATAAATTATCCTGATAATAATAATATAAATCAATTGGTAGTTACTGATCACTGCACTTTGCTCTCTGTTGTACTGTACTGCTGGAAGAAAAGAATAATATCATGGCAAGCAGCTGTACATGGGCCATTGTCATGCAGTGCAAGGAAGTGACAGTACCCTGCCTTGATGTTAATGGCATCAGTTCAGCTATGGCACAGAGAGTGCAAACACACAGATTTAATGACCACACTCAGGTCAATGAAGTCAGGAATGAGGACTCTGTTTGTTGTGTTGGGAGTTTTATCTATTTGGCTTACAAGAGCAGTGTGATTACTGTGCAAACCATAACAGCATCTAAAGACAGGAGGTGGATAGAAGGCTTTGCAGTGCAGAATACAACTCACAACCTACAAAGGTAATTAAGGCTTTCCATAGATAGGAATTTTAGTACTGTACCGTGTTAGCCATTGATTAAATGTAAAAAGCCTGAAGAATGGATATAAGACATCCTGAAACTTAAAGTGTTACTAAACCCACAACAGTAAAATCAGTCTGTATATGCAGTAAAGCATGCTTGTTATACTCACTGTGGAACCCAAGAGATTAATCTTCTGCATTGTGTAAAAAGGATGTTTGATCCTGACTTCTCTGATCCCCCCCTTCTTCCAGTGTCCCCCTCTTATCTCCTGATAAGGCATATCGTGTAAGTATTCTGCACATGCTCAGTTTGATGTGAATGGCTAGAGAGGTTTTTTTTTTTCTTGGGAAAGTGCATGTGGGAAGGGTCAATCAGCACTGTCCAGACAGAGTTTTGCATCCTCCTAGAGCAAAATGAAAACTCCTCCTACAAGCTTTAACATGTGCTCTGCGGGACACTGATAGATGTCACAAGACTGCTCTAACGCTGATGAGAAAAGGTATTTAGCAGTTTATATTTACTAAAACAATTGCACTTCCATGTTCTATGTACTGTGGGAGACCAGATATAGTGAATGCAGGGTCCTCGGTTTAGTAACACTTTAAGTAAGCCAATAAAGGATATCACTTAAATTCCAAACTTTCTGCAGGAATAATGTTAAAAATAATATTCCTTGAATATTTAATTGAAAAAACACAAAATTAATAGTCTTCATGCAACCTTTTATGTGACTTTCACAGTAATCAATTATTCATTGTAATAATCAGGTTCAAATCCCAACCACAATACTACCTGCACGGAGTTTTTATGTTCTCCCTGGATCTGAGTGGGTTTCCTCGGGGTACTCCAGTTTCCTCCTACACTTCAAAGACATGCTGATAGGTTAATTGGCTCCTGTCCAAACTGGCCCCAATATGTATGTGTATATGAATGTTAGGGACTTTAGTTAAGGGACTTTAGATAAATAAATAATCGCTGTGTAACTTTACAGCGCTATACAAGTACCTGTAATCAATAAAAATGTGTGTCCATCTTCAACCAGGGTTTTCTCCAGGAGTTCCATGAACAGTTAGCAGAGGTGGACTGATCTACTGCTGGACATACAGTAATTTCCAGTGAAAACAGATGAAAGGGGCATTCTTTTCACTGGCCATAAGTATAAATGGACATTATTCCTAAGACCCTCAACCTAAGAGCGAAATCTTCCTCCGACCTTCTATGTAAGAAGGGGTTCTCCCATGACTACCAATGTAAGGAAACACTTCCTAACAACCAATATAATGGCACCCTTCACCAATGACCACCTATATAACGGATTGCTACTCGGACTATCAAAGTAAAGGGCAATTTTTGCACTGACCATTAAAGGGCATTTCTCCACTGACTACCAATGTCAGGCAGCACTTCCCCACCAACAACCAATTCTAGGGTGTGCTTCTCTACTGACCAATGTAAGCAAGACCAATGCAAAAGGCCACTTCTCCTATAACAACCAAAAGGCAGGGGGCTATTTCTGTATACTACAAATCTAAGAGATCACTATTTTGACCACCAATGTGAGGGGAATTCCTCCCCTAACAACAAAGTAAGCTGACACTACAATTCTAGCAATCTTCAGCTATTTGCTGACCTATTTTATTATTCGTTACATATCATGATAAATTACTGAATGTATGTTTGTCGTATAGAGTAGGGTAGATGGTAAAAAATTATCCACTTGGGAATCAAATACATGAAGCAGACCACATTATTAGTTTATTTCTATATCAGCAACATATGGATTACCCTAATGCACTGTGACCTATCGATACCATTTTAATCTGGGGGTTTCCTGAAAATTAAAAAGGATTTCCTCTGCGGTAAAAAGCTTGAGAAAGGTTGCTCTAGAACTGCCCCCGGTGCTTAATGTCTACTTGCACTGATAAAACATCTTTTTGCAAATGATTATCCTCAGAGAATATCTCAATTAGTGAGCTTTTTGTACCTAGAATTCTGCGGTGCTTACTTTCATTGAGGGCCCACTCATACTTTTGCGGTTCTCACTCTGGTACGTTGTGTTAAGATGGTATGTTAATATTGGTTATATCATGCATTAATGTGCATTGCATGAAGGAAGCCCATCCAAATGGGCTGTCAATGCAGCAGAACAGACATAGGTTTTTCCAACACAAAGTACATTAGTGCATTTCCATGCCTCATTGTGTGCTGCGATGCATGTATGTTGGAGGTACATTGCCTTAGTTGTTGGTGATTGACGCAGCATGAGGACAAAACTTAGCTCCAATTGGTTGTCTTTCCTTGCTCCCAGCAGCTAGATGGATTGGTGGGGGAACTATGTTCAAGAAGGTTGAAGGAGGATAGAATAAAGAATGATGCAGAATAAAGCTATGTCCAAGGGGTGTCCTAAAATTGAGATTGTAGTTCTGCCTCTACATTAACACAGGTGAAAGGGCGAAGGAACACCTAGCTCTCCCATGTTGTTCCACACACCTGGTAGGCTAGAGGTAAATCCAAACCAGAAGAAACAATTAAAATCAATAGAACAATTAAGCTAGAACAAAGCTAGCCTAAATGAGACTGAGATGAATTGCTCAGTACATCCTTTCAATACTGTGTGCCATGGGGGCACTTGGCAGGTGTTAGAAACCTGCACCGTGTGCCAGCTTTTTGTGCTCGAGAAGAAGCAGTTTCATGGTCCAACTTATTCCTATGAAAATTTGTTCCTATAAAAAGAATAAGGTTTGAATTGAAGCTGTAGTTGCCATGTAATCATCATGATGAAAGGCAAAATAAATGAACCTCTGGGCAGAACCTGTCTGTGTCGATTCCTATGCCTTCAAGCCTCTGTACTAGATGGACACATGAAGCGTGTGCCGAGCACTTTCTTGTATACAAGCCCATTAATCAAATGAAATATAATGTAAATGCTCGAAGTTGATTTACTCTATGGCTGGCTTTTTTCTTCACCTTGCAACCAGCAATCGTTTCATGCTGAAACACAAGGTGTTCTGTACGCAAATGACAAGTTCTGATTTCCCTGTTTCCTTTTACATAGCAGTTACCACATCAGAACATATTGACACAGCTGTCAGGAGACTGAGCAGACTCTTGACATTCGCCAAGCACTATTTTCATATATCAGGAACTGTGAGCCAGTGTGTGGCTTTTATTCGGTATCTTCAGCAAACTTCCTGCATTCCAAAGATTCAAAATCGGTTTTAAAATTGATTATAATCTGTAACGGGCACTCCCTCCATAATACGCCATTCAATTTCACATATTTGTACACCCTGTATTGGGCAATCAGAAAGCACTGAAATGTAAGTGCTGGTCATTGTTCTAAATACATAACAATGTACATGGCTTTATGGAACAACTGTTAATTTAGATAAGGTGTGATAAGGGTTCATGGTTTATTGAATCACCCATTGTAATATGCACTTATTGTATTGTTTTTGGTATAATTTAAAGGGAAGGCATCAGAGTTACGTAAGCTAAAAGTAAAGTCTGCCATAGATGATGTAATTTTCTTTCCTGTAACTATGGGTTGCACGAAAGAAAAACTGCTGATTTCCCCCATCCAGAGCCAGTGCTAGACTATTTTGCGTCCTAGGCAAGAACTTGCGCCCCCCCCAAAAGAAAATATAAATAAAAATGTTTAAAAGCAGTAGACCATATTATTTAACAAAACATGAAACTGCTAAATTCCTTTTAATTTGCAAAACTATGTGCCATAAAATGCTACCAGCACCAATATTAAAGAAAATATATATTTACCAAGTATAAATTAACTGTATTAACCAATCAGACAGAGAAAAAAAAAAAAAAAAAAAAACACGGAGAGAGTTAAAAAAAAAAATACTCCACAGTGATCAGCAGTCAGCAGCCGCCTTGCAGTAAGGGACTGAGTTTGAGAGGAACACTGGAGGGAGCAGCAGGTTAGCTGCTACACTGGCCGCAGACACCAGACATCTTCCTCCCCCTCTGCCGTCCCTTCCCACAACTGAAGGATCATTTATGACATGTCGGCGTCCCACACGATCAATCAGCATCCGCTCCCGCACCCTGACCATTGTCCGCCCCCCTCCTCCTCCTGTCACCTCCATCCTCCTAGGCTTGGCTTACCCTTGACGGCTCCTACCAGGGTGCAGAATCCAGGCTGCAGCTCCCAGTGAGGACAAGTGGCCTCCAAGCACTACACCACATCCCTCTCATACACACCGGGCAGTGATCATCCTACTCACATAGGGTTAACCCTGCACCCAGAGCACACCCCCGCCTACTGATTGGCTCCAGCTGTGTAAAAGGCAGCAGAGTAAGTGCTGGACACACCCCATTCAGTGACTGGCTGGCTCCCTGTTACAGCTGGGAGGATCGTCTGTGCACAGGGGAGCCAATACTTCACTGCTACATATTATATATAATATATATATATTTTTTTTAATTTATTACAGGTACTTATATAGCGCGGTCAATTTACACAGCACTTTACATATATATTATACATTCACATCAGTCCCTAAGGGGCATAGATAGGAGCCAATTAACCTACCAGCATGTCTTTGGGGTGTGGGAAGAAACCAGAATACCCAGAGGAAACCTACGCAGGCACAGAGAGAACATGCAAACTCCAGGCAACAGGTGTTTTGGTTGGGATTCGAACCAATGACCCTAGTACTGCCAGGCCAAAGTTCTAACCATTTAGCCACTGTGCTGCCCCTGTACTAAATTGTCATGTATGTGAACAGGCTGTGAGACAATTGTGCAAAATAAAGATACCATCATTCCCTGTGTATGAGGAGAGGGGGACTCTGCAGAGAAATGAATTCATAGAAGAGGTCCATAGGCCACACAGAGTGCCAGCCTGTGCTGTGCCCAGACACCCCTAGGTGGCAGTGCGCCATAGAAGGCTGCCTAGTTTGCATAGTAGAAGCACTAGCCCTGCCCCCATCAACACAGTATTTCTGTGGGAGGGGAATCCCTCCCACAGAAATATTGTCTTCTTCCTGGGCAGAGGCCACAGGCTGGTTGTACCCATGTCATACAACAATTGGTGTGGGTACAATCAGTCTGCCCATAGATGGTTCAAATCTTGGCTGTCCCTGCTGAACTGGCTGAGATTCTAACCATCTGTGACCATCTTTAATATAATGCTCTAATTTTCTTTTAAAAGAGGAGTTCTACTCCCCCACTCCAACCTCTTAGCGCCGCTGCCAGGCCAATAAGGCAGTCCATCACATTAAAAGACTAATAGTGTGGCTCAGGAGGGTGCAAGGCCATATTCAACTTTAACAGGAACAGGTGAGATTTGCATATAAGTTCTACTTGCCTATATCTCTGGATCCACAGATTAGTTTGACAAGCTGTCTGGATGGAAAGTAACCTCTGCTTATGCATTTTTAACTCATAAGCTCAGTTTGACTTACTAAGGTTTGTACTTTAAAGTGAAGCTGTGGCCTGGCAACTTACTTACATTTGCATATTCTTAAGAAGCATTAAGGAAGTTCTATAATAAACCCTCAGTGACCTCTGTAGCTGAAGCCACTGTGAAGCAATTCCTTCTTAAAGTGGTAGTAACATCTAACTATTCTACGTTAACTAGTTCCTGCCCAGCCTATAGACAAACGACAGCCAGATGGGAGCGCTCTTGTTCTGGGTGAAAGTCATATGACATCCTCCCCAGAACAGGCTGTGCTGATGCTCCACCGGACACAGCCGATGACAGATCACTGTACTGGCCCACTGCCGATACCATGTGATCACTGTGACCCATCACAGCAGATCACATGACAAACTGTACAAAATGGATGGCTTTCATTCGTGCGATCCTTTGTGTACTATTGTGTTGCTCGCTGTTATTGGTCACAGTCATCACATGCATATAGGGCCAATCACAGCCCATCTGTACCAGGTGATTAGCTGCGGCCAATCACAGCTAATCACAATAAAACACACTTAATAAACTAATTTCATTCGGTAAAAATTATTGTTTATAACAGTGAATTTCACAGTTATAAGCAATCATAATATGTAAAAAAAAAAAAAAATTAAAATCTTGATCACCTCTTCAGATAAGTAAAAATGTTAACACTGTATTGTTGTGATCTCGAAATGTAAAAAAAAAAATGTAATAAAAAAAAATATTTAAAAGAAATGAAAAAAAAAATTTTGTTTTAGTTTTTCTTGTATATACTGTCAACAATCAGTGTCCCTGATCACCACCACGCCAGTTATATAATGATGCTGTACTGCAAGGAAGACGATATGTTAAAAAAAAATAAATAAATTGTGAAAAACCACCATTTTTTAAAATATTTCTTCATTTTCCAAAAAATTGTGACAAAAATTACCTACTAAATATCTGTCATTTGGGGGATATTTGTACTATCCTGGCATTTTTGGGCCTCAGGAAATAAGATAGGTCATCAGTATATCATAAACAATTTTTTTTCTATTTTTTTCTGCATTTTTTCATGTATTAAGCAAAAAAAAAAACCCAGTGGTGATTAAATACTACCAAAAGAAAGCTCTATTTGTGTGAACAAAATGATAAAAATGTATTTTAGGTACAGTGTTCTATGGCCAAGCAATTTTCATTCAAAATGTGACAGTGCTGAAAGCTGAAAACTGGCCTGGGCAGGAAAGGGGTGAGAGTGCCTGGTATTTAAGAGGTTAAAGTTAAAAAAAAAAAAAAAAAAAGAATTTCAAGTTGCCTCAGCACTTTTATCTATATCTTTTTCTTGTGTGCCTGTTCTGTATTTACATTGGAAGTAGAAGACTAGCAGGCTGCCAACTTGCTGCTGGAAGGGGGAGCAGAGCTACAGATAGAAAATGAAAGTAAAACAGCAAAGTTTCTGATGCAAAATTTGAGGATGAATTACTCCATAGTGCCTGAAAATGCAGAGTTCAATGACAGCCTGTTAGAAAGACAACTTACTGTTTGCTGATGCTTCCACTAAGCTCCTAGCAATTTTTCTTCTACGTACACCTCAGTATGCATCCTGACTTATTCTCAGCTTGTCAGGAATACAGCTGGATGAGGGGACACTGAAACCTGAGTTACATCATTAGTGGCCGTATAATGGCTGAAGAGAAATGCCATGTATACAAATCTTTCTTTGCAGCTTAAGGTGGGGTTGGCAAGAACGCACCTCAACTGCCTGTGTTTTTAGATGCATGGGGGTGCTTGTTTTTAAAGAGCAGCGCATTTTGGCTGCGAGTGCGGGAAAAGATGTGATTCCCGAACCGGAATCCACCTGCAATAGTGTGAACCAGGCCTTAGAAGTAAGTGTGCTATGATGTGAAAGTGCACTGAGAGCCAAAACACCCTTAGAGGGATTTTGTTTTGCTTAAGAATAAGTATATATTTTAATGTTTATAACCTAGCCACAGTTCAACAGAACTAACAGCGCTGAAGGACAGGCAGTTTGCCTGCAAGGTCCTGTGTTAGTTGTGAAAGCCCCAAACAAGCCAACACCAAGTCCCAACCCCGGTATTTAGAACATCAAAGAAAATTAGACATTGTTATTTGAAAGTTCAGTGATAAGGGGACAGCCTGACTCTCAACGTGACAGTAGTCAAGGTCATATGGGCCTATGATCTATGGGATATGGTTCCCTTGGATACTAGGCCCATATGACCCCTGATTCTCCTCTGTAGTAAATGAACCCATAAGCAATGAACATTTCACCATATCTGGGTTCTGAGCCGTCATTCCCTGGCTATTGTGGACAGGTAAGCAGCTAACAAAGCAAAGTATGTGCTTGATTAGCTGTAGTGGAGGGCAAAGGTGGCACATATAAGTCTAAGGCTCGACATACATTATACAATTTTCTTTGTACAATTTTCCTTTAGATTTACCAAAGCCATATAATATCAAATGTCAAACCTAAACACTTTCATTTTGTATGCAATCAGACAGGCCCTTGCACTACACAGTTTAAGGTAAATCTAAAGGAAATTGAACAAAAAAATGTATAATGTATGGACAGCTTAAAGTGTTACTAAACCCACAACAGTAAAATCAGTCTGTATATGCAGTAAAGCATGCTTGTTATTCTCACTGTGGAACCTAATGGGGTTTTTCCGCTGCATTGTGTGAAAAGATGGTTTGATCCTGACTTCTCTGATCCTCCCCTTCTTCCAGTGTCCCCCTCTTATCTCCTGATAAAATATATCATGTAGATCACTCTGCACATGCTCAGTTTGGTGTGTATTGCTAGAGAGATTTTATTTTCTTGGGAGAGTGTATGTGATCAGCACAGGGCCAATCAGCACTGTCCAGACAGACGACAGAGGTTCTGCATCCTCCTAGAGCAGAATGAAAACTCTTCCTACAAGCTTTAACATGTGCTCTACTGGACACTGATAGAAGTCTAAAGACGTCCCTAATTCTAGCTCTACCACTGGAATTGGTACCATCTGTATGAAAATCAAAAATATGCAAAATTTGTGTGCACAAGGTGTCAATGAATTAAAGTGTTTGTTCATGCCAGAAGTCTGCCAAGCAAAATAGGTGAGTTGGAAGCTTTGCTGCATGAACTATTATTTAATTGGTATTGCTGAATCTTGGCTTCATTCTTCATCATGACTGGGCCATTAATATTCCTGGCTATGTTCTCTTTCGGAGAGACAGAGTAAATAGGAAAGGTGGTGGTATTTGTCTCTATGTGAGAAGTGATCTCAGAGTGAGTGTGAAAGAGGACCTAGTTGATAGAAAGTGTGATGAGCCTGAAGCATTATGGGTGGAATTGTACATGGAGGTGCGTATTACAAAGATAATCATTGGCATTTGTTATAGGCCTCCCAGTGTTAATGAGGAGGTGGAGACTCCCTGCACAGATCAGAAGGGCTGAAAGGCTAGGGCAGTGATAATAATGGGTGATTTTAACTACCCAGAAATTGACTGGAGTAATGGTACTGCAGGAACAGTTAAAGGGCAAAAATGTATAAACCTACTACAGGACAATTTTATGGTACAGTTCATAGATGCCCCTACTAGGAATGATGCTCTGCTGGACCTGGTAATCTCAAACCATGCAGAGCGTATTATGAATGTCCCCATATAAAAGAACATCTGGGTAGCAGTGACCATAACATGATTTAATTTATTGTTAGCTGTAAACAACAAGCACATACGGGAAAAATAAAAATGCTCAACTTTAAGAGAGCTAATTTTCCAAAGCTGAGAGCTGCTCTCTAAGACTTAGACTGGGAGGGAATATTGGCATCAATGAACACAACACAGAAATGGAAGTTCTTCCAAAGGACTATATGTGAACACACTACACAATACATTCCCATGGGCAACAAGTTTAAAAGGCTAAAAATTAAACCTATGTGGCTTACGGCCAAAGTTGAAAAAGCTATAAATAATAATAAAATAGATTTTAATTAAGTATAAAAATGAAGGAACGCTATCATCATTTAAACATTACAAAGACTATAACAGAATATGTAAAAAGGAAATCAAGGGCTGTAAAATTGAAAACGAACCACAGATTGCAAAAGATAGCAGGACAAACCCTAAAAAACTCTTCAAAATATATTAACCACTTGCCTACCAGGCACTTATACCCCCTTATTTACCAGGCCAATTTTCAGCTTTCAGCGCTGCCGCACTTTGACTGACAATTGCGCGGTCATGCAACATTGTACCCATATGAAATTTTGATCATTTGTTTCTCACAAATAGAGCTTTCTTTTGGTGGTATTTAATCGCCACTGGGCGCTTTACTTTTTGCGCTATAAATTAAAAAAGTGCAAAAAATTTGAAAAAAAAAAAGTTTCTTTGTTTCTATTATAAAATTTTTCAAACAGGTAATTTTTCTCCTTCACTGATGTGCGTTGATGAGGCAGCACTGATGGGCACTGATAGGCGGCACTGATAGGCAGCACTAAAGGGCACTGATAGGCAGTACTAATGAGGTGGCACGGATAGGCGGCACTAATATGCAGCACTGATAGGTGACACTGATGATGGGTACTGATAGACGGCACTGACTGGCATCACTGCTGGGCACTGACTGGCAGCACTGACTGGCACAACCGCTGGGCACTGACTGGTGGCACTGACTGGCAGCACTGCTGGGCTGCACTGGTGGGTGGCACTGGTGGGCAGCACTGGTGGGTGGGCACAGGTTGGTGGCACTGGTGGGCACAGGTGGGTGGCACTGGTGGGTGGGTACAGGTGGGTGGCACTGCTGGGCACAGGTAGGTGGCACTTCTGGGCACAGGTGTGTGACACTGCAGAGTGGCACCGATGGGTGCACTGCTGGGCACAGGTGGGTGCACTGCTGGGCACAGGTGGGTGATCTGCTGGGCACAGGTGGGCGGAGCTAGTGGGCGCACTGCTGGGCACAGGTGGGCGGAACTTGTGGGTGGCACTGCTGGGCACCGATCATCAGGGCACTGATCATCAGTGCCCTGATGATCGGTGCCGATCCTCGCTCTGACAACTGCCGGTTCTCGGCAGTACTTTCCTCACGATCTGACAGCGTGAGGAAAGTGCAGCCGAGAACCGGCACTTGCATTTCCCTGTGATCAGCGTGTCATTGGACACCGCTGATCACGTGGTAAAAGGCCGGTATGATTGGCCTTTTACCACATCTCGTGATCAGCTGTGTCCTTAGGACACAGCGATCACGGAGATCGCCGGGTGCGCGCCCCCTGGGGCGCGCAGGAGAGCGCGTTCTGGGGGGACGTCATATGACGTCCAACCAGAACTGGCCGGCCGCAGTGCAGCCGTCATTCGGCTATCTGCGGTCGGCAACTAGTTAAGAGTATTAACCTCTTCCATACAGGGCACTTTTACCCCCTTCCTGCCCAGGCCATTTTTCAGGTTTCAGCACTCTCACACTTTGATTGACAATTGCACGGTCATACAACACTTTACCCAAACTAAAATGTTATTTTCTTCAGACAACTAGAGCTTTCTTTTGGTGTTATTTAATCAACACTGGGGTTTTTATTTTTTGCTTAACAAAAAAAAGACTGAAAATTTTGAAAAAAAAAAAAAAAACACGTTTTTCTTTGTTTCTGTTATAAAAGTTTGCAAATAAATAATTGTTCTTCATAAATGTAGGCCAAGATGTATTCTGCTACATTTCTTTGCTGAAAATAACCCAAATTAGTATTTATTATTTAGTCTGTAGTAAAGTTATAGAGTTCACAAACTATGGGATATATCTGAAAATTGATCAATCCTGAAGTACTCACGGCCAATCTAATTTCTTGAGGTCCAAGAATGTCAGAACAGTACAGATATCCCCCAAATGACCCCTTTTTGCAAAGTAGACAGCCCAACGTATTTCATTAGAGGCATGGCGAGCTTGTCAGAATTTTGGAAAATTAAAAAAAATTATTTTCACTATTTTTTTTTTTACATACTGTCACCAGTGCAGTACAGCATCATCATATAATTGGCATGGTGGCGATCAGGGACACTGACTGTTGACAGTATAAAAAAAAAAAATTATAATTTAAAAAAAAAAAAAAAAAAAAAAATTTTATCTTTTAAGATTTTTTTTTTTCATATATCACTATGACCAAAGTAGCATAATGTTACCATAGTAGCATTGTATTACTTTGGGGAAGTGATCAGTATTTTTTTTTTTTTTTTTTTACACAATTTGCTTCTAGCAAAGTAATTCTTTGCTATAAGCAAGCATTTACCTGAATGACATCGATTCATTCAGGGGTTTTTTTTTGTGCTTCGCTGTGATTTGGCCACAGCTAATCACATGACACAGCTGGGCTGTGATTGGGCCAGCTTGTGCATGTGATCGCTGTGACCAATCACAGCTAGACACACTTATATACAATGGATGGCTTCCATTGTATACAACTGCCATGTGACCTGCTGTGATTGGTCACAGCAGGTTACATGGTACTGGCAACAGGGCCTGTACACAGATCTGTCATCGGCCATGTCCGAGGTACATGGCCGGTGACAGATCGAGCCACAGAGCGGGCCTGCAGGTAGGTGCACTATGCATGCCTGAAAGGATGCCATATGGCGTCCACCTGGAGGGACGAGCTTACAAAATAATCTAGAGTGGGTGACTGGGGACAAAGAGAAGGCAAATTTATTTAATACCCTCAGCTCTGTGTATACAAAGGAGCATGGGGGAGCTCTTGTCCAAAATGGCTATGGTATTGACACAGCTCCAGATGATCCACATTCACTCACAATTGATATGATCCAAAAATATTTAGACAGAATAAAGGTGAGTAAAGCACCTGAACCGGATGGCATACACCCACAGGTCCTTAAAGAATTGAGCTCTGACATTTCAAAGCCATTGTTTCTAATGTTTAGGGACTTTAATGACTGGCATAGTACCACTGGATTGGCGTAAGGTCAATGTGGTGCCATAATTTAAAAAGGGGTCAAAATCTTTACCAAGTAATTATAGACCTATTAGTTTAACCTCTATAGTTGGGAAGATACTGGAGAGTTTAATAAAAGACCACATAGATGAGTTCTTGCTGGAAAAAAAATATTTTAAGCAACAGACAGCATGGATTCATGAAATACAGAAGTTGTCAAACAAATCTGATTTCTTTTTATGAGGGGGTGAGCAAAACCTTGGACAGAGGGGTGGCGGTGGACAAGGTATACTTGGATTTTGCAAAAGTGTTTGACACAGTTCCCCACACACGGCTAATTTGTAAGGTAAAATCTACGGGCTTGGAAAAATCACTATGTAAATGGATAGAAAACTGGCTAAAAGATCGTATTCAGAGAGTAGTGGTTAATGATTCATACTCTGAATTGTTAATATATTTATAAACAATATAGAGTCTGGGATTATAAATACTGTTTCAGTCTTTGCAGATGACACCAAACAAAAATTTGCAACTGCAACAATTTTATCCCACAGGGCCTCTGCTTCTATAGAATATATAATTGTTAGTGGGCTTCAAATAATTTTTTTTTTAGCAAAAAATGCAGATTTTAAAATGTGATCAATTATAAAGTTATCTTGGGCTAACAAGCCCTCACTAGTCTTAGAAGCTGCAAACACTGTGGAGCAGTTATTTCCTAAGAAATGCTTTCATTTTCATTCTTTCACAATCAGTGACTTGGCAACCTGCCAGCCTTCTAAACTGTAATGTAAAAGCAAAGTCCCTGAACAATAGTCTTAAAGTGTTTATAAACTTCAGACATACAAAAATTAACAAAACATATCCCTCTATGGTGTGTACTTGTTTCATTTAAGAGCAGTAAGTGTAATTTCTGCCCACTGCTTTGTTCCTCTGCTATCAGCATGAGACATTTCTAACAAGTTTTCCTT